GGACATTTGTATCTTGTTTACCTTCAGAAACATGTCAATGGCGCGATATAACCCGTCATGACTCTGTCTTGGGAAGCTAGAGAGTGTCTCTGCGAGAGAGAGGAAGTTCTTGAGAAGGAGATTAGGATCTCTTGATTTCTCAGCTAAGTATCCATCAATGAGCTTTGCGACCGATGTTTTCACTGTTATATCATCTTTTGAGTGAGTTTTCGTGTCTCGGTTCATAAACTCCTTGACTAGGCTTTGCACCATTTCTGTATCATACATCAAGATATCACTCACTGTTGTCTCCTCAAGCTGCTCACTGATCCTTCTCTTTAACTTCTCTTTCACGGTTTCTTCAAATCCGAGAAAGATCGATGCTCGAAGTAGCTGACTCAAGAAACTAGAAGAAACGCTTCCTTTCTCCTCCGGGATAAGCTCTATGATTGTATTAGTCAAACATCTGTCAATGATTTGCACTAAGCCTTTGCTAAAACCAGCTATTCTTCTTACTGCATAAGCGTGTAATGCTTCTCCAATAACGAAAACCGGGACTCTCCCTCTCTTCTTGATTACTTCGATGGCTTGTTTATACAAATCGATGTGAAGATCGCATAAATCTTCCACCCACCAGTCTTTTGGAACCGGTTCTGGTTTTCTCACCTTCTCAAGCTTCTTCTTCCTGTTGTAAGTGTAAGACCATTTGACTTTCGAGGTATCTATCGAAGCTAAAGAAGCAACAGAGTCGAGACAACGCTTAACGATCTTGAGCTTGAGGTCCTCTGAGTTAGGAGAAAGATCCCTTGTTGTCTGGAGAAAAATTATAGAATCTTTCCAACTATGGAATATAGTTGAGTTCAAGAAAACATCAATCTTGTAAACAATATTGCTTTTCTCAAACGTTTCATTCATCTCCAAGAACTCAGCTGCACAACGAGCTGCGACTACATTGTAAGCGTTTAAGGTCACCGCGATTCCGTAACAGAACTTGACACAAACCTCAAAAGCAGCAGAACCACCAGGAATCTCAGATATGTCAATCTCATCAATTTGGTTCTTGTCTTCATTTTTTGATGTTGCAATGAGTTTCTGCAAAAGTCCACTTTTGGACAGCAATGGAAACTGAAACAAAACAAAACCAAAAAACTCTTTTTTATGTCTGCTTTTACTTCTCTTTAATGTTTTAGAGACAATAAGAGTTGTTCATACCGTATGAAGATAGAATTTGACATTGCCAATGATGACAATAATCTCTGTTTCTAACTCAGTTGCTACATACCTAAGGAGCCAAAAACCAATACGAAGCCAATACATATCAGTTATAGAGAAAAAGATTGTTTAAGCATCATTATCAGAGAGAAAGAGAGCTAAAAAATACGGTTCTACAGACCGAACATTGTCTTCTTTAGACTGAGACGAATCAGGTTTGGATCCAAGTTTCATAAACTTCATTTTCTTGCTCTTCAAGAATGCACACAAAGACTTTTTCAAGATCTTTAGCAGCAAAGGAGAAACAAAGAGAGACTAAGGAAAGCTAAGAATCTTTAGCACATAGAACAGATCTATGTTCAATCTTGTTCTAAAGAAAGCTTAAAAGGAGGATCTTATGTTTTCTTTCTTGGTAAAAGAAAGAAACATTGTTTATGGAGTCATCACAGTATAAACAAATATATAATTTACAGAAATCTTAGAGATTCAGAACAACACACCCACCAACTCAAATGGCTCGAAAACCTAGACACCACGCTTCTTTGTTTTCTTTTTCTTTTTTCTAAGTGCTTCACACATTCACAGACAGAGAAACACGTGAAACTCCTCTTTTCGGTTGCCCATTGTGTTTGTAAGCAGTTCTTTGCAGTATTAGAATATTGGTGGGATGTGACAAAAAAAAAAAAAAAATTGGTGGTGTTAAGAATAAGAAAAAGAGAGAAGAACTGTGTTGTGTATTATTCCATGAGAAGAACAAAGTATATACGGATACATAGCTTGGGGAGGAAGTACAACTTGGACAAGAGGTAAG